TTACTGACTAAGCTGAACGATGTACGCGATTATCTGGTGACTTCCATTAGAACTGAGCCAGCGACTGCATACGAAACGTCTGTATTGCTGAATGAGATCGATTTGAAAATAAAAACCCTATCAACCAAAATCGAAAAAGTCAGAGGCGGACCCAATCCACATCTCGATCCGATGGGCTTTGATATAATTAACTGGATACGTCACTGGTTGCCAAGCGGCGGCCGCAATTCGAAGAACAGCAAGGAGCCACCCAATACTCCAGCTGAAGACAGCGAACGTAGTCGCAAACGATCGTAAGCCCATCAATGCAATATAATTGTTTACATTAGTAAAATTTTCATATATTGTATTACAGTTACCCAAGCTTGGCTGGCGAGGGTGAAACTCTACAGTTGATCAAATATCGCCGCGTGGATAATACATTTCCTAAATATATGCCGAATGACGGTAAGTACCAGATAGATGAAGAAAACTCGCATGGAAATAGGAAATCCAATCAAGAAATTAACTCAAAATTAGAATGTCCTGGCCAAGTGTACTCCATTGAAATCACTGAATTCGAATTTTCCCTATCAACTCAGCTCCCTTCATAATGATCTCATTTTATACATATATGTATTACAATATATGATATAAACATTTGTCAAAAGCAATGTGTATGTTTTTGTATAAAAATAAAAACAAAATTATTTTTATTTTGTATATTATATTTTAGTTAAATTGTAAGTACCAAAAGCCCTCCATCCATTCATCAGTCATCAATCATCTCAAAATTGACTATGAAAGTCTCTTTAGTATTGAAATTGTTTTGTATTCTCCACAGTTGATAATTTTTGCCGTATGGCAAACCCAACCCAGCGCAAGGAGCCAGAGAACAACAACAGCAATCGCAATGCCTTCCAGTCGCAGCCGAAGCGCCTCTCGATATTTAACACGCCGCCAACACGGCAAGTGAATGTCCGCAACACACAGCCCACATCGCCGATAGATCTGTCCGACTCGGACGATCAGCAGCATAATGAGAGTAACTTGTACCAAACGTTCGCTGATCGTCTGGGCACAAGTGGGCAGCCGGCGGCGCGTCAGAATGAGTTTGGACGCATCTCGTCAGCTAGACGTAACAACTTGCTCTACTCCGACGCCTTGCGTTTCGGCACAAACGGTTTTTCGAGCAACATCAACTACCAGCGTCCCTCTAGTAGCCTCGCGTCGTCCGAGGCGCGCCTAAATGGGCACAGCAGCAATATGTTTGAGTCGGGAGGTCCTGGAAAAGATTCCATATTGGCGCTAGAGGAACAGCGCAATGAGCACAATCAGTATGTCAATCTGATCAATAATTTAACACTTCATGATCGCGAATATGCACGGCGTGCCGCCGCTGCACGCGAAAAGGAAAAGCCACCGCCGCCGCCGCCGTTGCGTCCGATTAGCCTTAATAACACTGACTGGATGCGCGCTTATATTAAGAACAAGGCCGAGTCCGGTGTGGCTGGACGCTCCGAATATGCTAAGCTCTTAAATTTCAATTCGAAAGCGGATGCAGTTAAGTCAGCCGACCCACTAAGCACAAAAGTGCCGGCAACTCCCATTCAGAGCTACTTGAAGAGCGACAACACTGACAACAGCACAAATGTCGAAAAGCCGTCAATCCCGAGTATCGTAGATGACGTCCCCGGGCAACTATCGGAAAAGTGAGTGACATTCATGACAGTGCTATCTTTTGGCAAAGTCGAACATTAATTCATTGTTTCATTTAGTTCGAAACAGATTTCGCAGCCGCAACCGTCGTCGTCGTCTAAAGAGTTACCAATGCCACGCACTAAAGCACTGCAGTTTCGCATCAGCAAGTCGATCTATTTCGACGACAACTATGGTAATGTATTTAGCCAGAAGTGCACCAAGACACAGGAGGAGGTGAATCGCACTAAGAACCTGGTGATTCAGGAGTACGTAATTGCAATTAATATTAAAGGTTTGTCAACTATCTAAGTATATGTAAATTGTTCGCAGAGCTGAAAGGCGAACTGAGGAACGTCGCGCATTCGAGCAAGGGCTGCGTGAGAGCCTTGCCAAGCGACGCTTTGTCGGCCACACATTATTTGTGTTGGAAAATTATTCGGTCGAGGAGGATAGCAAACCGGAGTTTATTCCATGGACCGATGCCCATCAGCAGCGCTATAATGAGCTGATATTCGGCAAGCCCGACCAGGTAAATTTCATTTTGATAGGAAAATTGCAAATTTATTCACATGAACTGTCACATTCTATCTCCATCTCGCTCTCGCTCTCTCTCTCTCTCTCTTTCCTTCTCTTTCTATTACTAGGTACTTATTTCGAAGTTTAGCCTCAGCATTACTCGCAACGATATTCGCACTCTGTCTGGCAGTTCCTGGCTGAACGATGAAGTTATCAACTTCTATATGAATCTATTAACTGATCGCTCCCAGCGCAATGAGGGCAAGCTGCCCAGCGTGTATGCCATGAATACGTTCTTTGTGCCGCGCCTATTGCAGGGCGGCTACGGCAATGTGAAGCGCTGGACTCGCAAGGTTGATATATTCAGCAAGGATATTATTCCGGTGCCGGTGCATGTCAGCAACGTCCATTGGTGCATGGCCATTATACACATGAAAAATAAGACCATACGCTATTATGATTCTATGGGTAAACCAAATTCGGAGGTGTTGAGCGCCCTGGAGAACTACTTGCTGGAGGAGTCGTTGGACAAGCGCAAGAAGCCATTCGATACTAGCGACTTCATTATCGAAAATGTCCAAAATGTGCCCCATCAGACCAATGGCAGTGACTGCGGTGTCTTCAGCTGTATGTTCGCTGAGTATATAACACGCAATAAGTCGCTCACGTTCTCCCAGGAGCACATGGAGTACTTCCGCAAGAAGATGGCCCTCGAGATTTGTGGCGGAGAGCTCTGGAATTAGGTAGCCTCATATGCCCAGCAAGTAGTATACATCATTATCATTAATTAAGTACATCAAATCCTTTATTTAAAATAATTTATTTATTATTGATAATAATGTGTGTATGATAAGCAGCCGGGGGCGTTCTCAACAAGGAATTTGGAATACAATGTTTGCCTTCAATTAATTCGGACTTTCTTAGTTTTAGCAAACCTATGAGCACACAGAAGAACTAAGAAGTCCGCATTAAAAAAAAAAAAAAAAAAAAAAAAAAAAAAAATACACTACACTTACAATGACAACTATTTCAGTTTTGCAAAACACAAACAGACTCCGAAACAGAAACCGCAAACATGTAGCTGGATTAACCGAAATACTCCTAATATTGTAACACACGGAAACTAAAATCAAATCGTGTAATAAATGAAGGCAATCACCACGATTAAGCCAGTGTCTATTATTGGGGTTTGATTCAATCTGTAATTACTTTCAGCTATAGCAATTAAGTTATATTAAGAGCTATGTATCAAAATACAAAGTTAATCAAACACTAGAAATAGTAGCAGCTCTATAGGCATCTCTGTAGATGTCTCTCCATCTCAACTGTTCTTGAACTAAGCCTAACTAAACTCAAATTAAGTTATATTATACATAAGTCCAATCTGACCATAGACCAGTTACTCTTTAAGTAATTTTATTTTTAGTAACTAATTTTTTTGAAGAAAGGGGTGTAGTGGCTGGAGCTCCTATAGCGCTCCATAGGCTGCAGTTTTGTATAAAAATTAAATTTTGCTCCATCAACCGATGATAGAAAGAGAACGATAGAGAGAGAGAGAGAGAGGTGTCAGATATATGTAAGCCATCTCTTTCTACATACACTGAAATACTTACCCATTGGAATTCTTTTAGATGTAAAAATTCGGAAACAAATTTGAATAGCTTAAAGCATATATCCCATGTATTGCTAAATCTAAAAAACTACCCAAAATTTCTTAAAGATGCGACAAGATATGTAAGGGAGAATTTACAATTTTAGCTAAGCAAAAATAAATGAAAAATTTGTTTTCTATATAAGTTATGCAAAGTTTATGTTTTGACTATATGTTAGTGCTATCCCTTTCTCACTTCTGAGTTAGTTACTTATGTTAAATAGCTTACCTTTATTGCGCAAAATGTATTTTTTTTTTTATTTTTAAATCCAAAAAAATGTAATAAAGTTAATTTAGTAAAAGTACAGCTGATGTTTTTTGGAACATGTAACACTTAGAGAGCACAGACAATGATGCCTGAAATAGCTGCGTCTCGCTCTAATCGATCGGTTGTGCGCATTTGCCATATGCAAAGAGCGAATAGGGTACATCAGCTTGCTGGCTATTTGAAGGACTTGCTGTATAGATATATGTATATGTAGATCCTTGTCTAATGTCGAAGAATAAAAATCGGAGCAAGAATTATAGATTACCACGCTCTTTGGGATATCGTAGAACAGGAAGTTTCTATATAAAGAGTTATACAAACCAGAAATCGGAATGGTCCTCTCCTATTGCCCAACGAGCGTATACATATATCGGAAATTGGACTGCAGTTTATATATACAGTTATGTAAATCAAAAATGGAAAAAGACCTTCACGATTTACCAGCGAACGTGTACATATATAATTCTTAGAGCTATGATCCCAGCGTCGATTTCTTCTATATATGTAGAGCAATGATCCTAGTGTCTATATATGCAATTATATTGTCGCTTTCTACTACATCGGAAATCTGATCGGTATCCTCTATATCTATTCAGATATATCCGAAATGTGAAAGTTCTCACATTTTTGTTTCCAAATATACCTATATGTATGTATATACATATATGCCTGTAGACCGTATATGAATCAATGCATTGTATTATATATGTACACTGATGTATTTTATAAATAATCCTATCAAAATCATTTTAAGAAAAAAATAAAAATAAAAAATAAATTTAATAATCTGGAAATCATATATCTTTCTGCCTTTCCTGAAATTTGCATAATAAAAAAAAGTAAAGTAAACAGACACAAAAGAAACATAAGAAAAACTTTTCAAAATTTGCCTTCATAAGCATACATCTAGCTAAATTATATTTATTTTTAACTATTTTTACAAGATTGTGTAAATTCATAGAAAAAAATTAAATAAAAAAAATACCTTAGTAGCTACCATTGTATTGCTAATGTATTTCACACTTACATATACATAATAATAATATTAAAAATAAAAATAATAATATGTAATCCAAAAAAAGGTATTAGGATTTTTGTTTCTCCTTATTTTCTTCTTTTTTTTTTTTTGTATTTTAGGGGAACTTAAAAAAAATAGGTTGCTTATATGGAGAACCGACATTGGAGCCTGCACGTATGTACATGCATATCGTACATATCGTATACACTAAAAACAAAGTATCACTTTTCTAAAAGTTTATTTGTATTAGTTTAGTTTCTTATATAACAAGCACGGGGAACTGGAATTGTCATAGTAAATGATGTAAGGATTTACGGTTTAATAGAAAAAATTAAAACACATATATAAACGATATCGACTCATATATATATATGTCCTAATCTACACTTCTATGAATATCATCTCGGTGGCGAGTTGTTCTCTGGCAAAACGAAAACGAAAAACAAAAACTAAAAAAAAAAAAAAAAAAAAAAAAAAATCATATGGTATTTATGAAAATAATATCTGTACATACATTTTGAGGTATATAACGTGACCCATCATCAGGTGTACGGTATTCTTAATAAAGCAGTAACACTATCATGTTACAAAATATCATTAGATATATATAGATTTATATGTTAGTTGTCATTATTGTGGTTGTTGTTGTTGTTGTTTTTGCTTGTCGATTTGTCACGCCATATTCTAACTAATATGTATCCCTACTAGTCTATACATACGAATTAGGAAGTCTCTCGTATTACCCAGATCTTGTTCGATATCTGCTTGTATTTATTTATTGATAGATGCCACACACATCGGAGTAAGAGAGTTACACGATTGCGTCTTATCAAAAAACAAAAAAAAAGCATAATTTACTCTATATAGTATATACATATATATATACATATACATACATATATGTGTGTATCTGTGTGTGTGTGTCTATGTGTCTGTGTGTGTGTTTTTTTTTACTGAGTTAATTGGCCTGCATAAAAGGATCATGTCTATATGGTCCCTCTAAGGCATTGGCAATACTTTCCCCTAGTGTACATATGTATATGTTGTCTTGTCTTGTTAAAGCTATATACTCCTTACAGACACAATCTGATATTGGTATAAGCCCAATGGTTTAAATAATACTTCAATATGTATGTACATGGCCAAGACAACGGGTGCGTTGTCAAGTGCTTCTGCTTCTGCTTCTGCTTCTACTTTCATATAATGCAATACAGTTTACTCGTATATATGTATATGTTTCAACAGCCTAAAAAACATACAATTTTCATATATTCATAATACATCTGGATTCTATCGGAAATCTAACATCTAAATTAGGTTCTTATGTATTTACACAGAAAAACAACTCCAGCCAGAGCTCACTTCATTTGACAAGGAAGAAAGGAAACACTTTTGCAATTTGGAAATGTTGTACAAATATATATATATATATATATGTATATATATACTGAAATAGTTATATACATATATGTATTGAAATAGGTGTTCAAATTTCCGATTTGGACCGATGAAAATATAAAATTTGAATGCTTTTCGTCGTCATTTCATATTGATAAAAAGTTATTCTTTAAATGCTGACAGTATATCCATTGCGATAATTTTCAGTAGTAGTATTTCTGAAACTTTATGATAATTTACGAGTATATATATATATATCTTTATATATATATATATATACCTAAATATGTAGAGAGATATCACCCGCCACTGAGTTAAGTATTTCAAATTATCACGTTTCATTGAGTGGTTGCAACTGCAATGAGTAAACGCATCATTTTTTGTTTGTTTTCAGTTGTTTTTTTTTTTTTTTTTTTTTTTTTTTTTTAGTTTTAGTTATAGATTTAGATTTTGTTTTGTATTTTTTTTTTTTTATCATTTTCTTAGTTTCATTATTGGTGTGAATCATCTAACTTTAATAAATGGGGGAAATATGTACCAATAATATACGTAATATATGTATATACATATGTTTGCATGTTTAGTGGTAACGTGTCTATGTATGTGAGTGTGTGAGTGTTTGCTTGCTGAGAATGACATGATGAATTTCTTCAAAGTTATAAAATAATTCGTACTTAGTGTTTTAAGAGGAGAAACTTATCATTGAAGCACAAAATTAAGATTTGCAGACAGATTAATGTCATTTTAATCTAACCATATATACTTATATATTATATTCTTAAAAATAAAACTTATAAAAGGTTTCTTTGTGATTTTCTCCTTCAGTAATTCATGGAAATTTGATTACTTATTATTTAAAAAAAAAAAAAAAATTAATATTATATTTCTATATATATATTGTGTATATATATTATCAATATATACTGGTATATATATATATATATATATATATATATATATATGTTCAACACGCATCAGTCAATCTGGTTATCGATCAGCTGACGCCCTTTCCTTGTTCGTGATGACCAACGGAGGATAGTGTATAAATAGTGAAGAGTATTTTACTGCTAGACCTATTGATTCTCGTCATCATCACCGTCACCATCATCGTCGTCGTGCTGCTCATCCAGCTGCTGATGCTGCTGCTGCTGCTGTGCGGCTGCGGCGAGTAACGCGGCTTTCTGTACTGCTTGGGCCTGCGCCTGGATCGACGCTTGCATCGAGGGCGCTGACATGGCAATTTTCCCGCTTGTCTTGTACTCGGTCATTTCCTAAACACGAAACGAATATTAATTAATTAATTAATTAGCAATTCACATAAAATATATGTATATATATGCGACTATTGCCACTTACTCGCTCATATCGTGCCTTGTCCCTCTCTGCCATCGACTCGTACTTTTGCTTCACTTCGGGATCAACGTCCGACCATTTGCGGCCCAGCTCTTTGGCAATGTCACCAACACCGTATTCGGGATTAAGAGCCTTCACTTTATTTCTTTCATCATTGCAGAACCAGAAGAACGCAGACCTGCAAATCGAATCAATTGCAAATTAATTATTGTCCCATTTCGAAATGTGCATAGTGTCATCCATGCCGGATTCTTAGTATTAGTAAGTAGTATTAGTATAATCAATTTTGCTACGAACTCACAATGAACGTTTTGGCGCATTCGGATCCTTGATCTGTTTTCTTTTCTTGCCACGGCCCACGACCGCACCCTTGGGCGGGACATAGTTCTGCATCTCCTGCTCGTACCGTTGCTTGTCTTTTTCAGCCATTTCGTGGAAGCGTTTCTTCTCCTTGTCAACCATCGTCTAGATGAAAGGCAAAACAACTGGTAGACTTCAACTATGCTGTTGATGGGGTTATTGCTTACCTTCCAGCGCTCAGCGCACTTCCTTGAGAACTCAGCGAAGATCACTGTCTCATCGGGATGCTTCTTTTTGTGCTCCTCTCTGCATGTCTGTACAAAGTATGCGTAGGCGGTCATTCGGCCTCTGGGTTTCGCATCAGCTTTGCCCCCCCTGACCATTGGGCTCTGAAATGAATATGAATATGAATATCAACAATAAGGAATAGAATAGAATTATTTCTATTATTTGATTAGCAACTTACCCCGGCTGAGTTGATGACATTCTGTTGCTGCTGCTGTTGTTGCATCTGTTGTTGTTGCTGTTGCTGCTGCTGTTGCTGTTGTTGCTGCTGTTGTTGTTGCTGCTGTTGCTGCTGGAGCTGTGCAGCTGTGTTGGCATCCACCTGACCCTGATTGGCAGCCGGATACCACCATTGGGAGCCGGGCACCGCCGCAGCTGCCGCAGCCTGCGCCATATTTAGGCGGTAATCGTAGCCAGTGGTTGCCGCATTCGAGGTGGCAACAACCTGGGCCATTGTTGTGGCTGGATTGGGGAAACTACTGGCCATTTTGTATGTGAATAGCTGTTGGGTGCCAACGCCGGAGGTGGCGTTGGAGCTATTCTGATGTGCCTGCTGTTGATTTTGCTGGACAACCACTTGGTGTTGTTGCAACTGTTGCTGTTGTACTGCAGCCGCTTGTTGTTGTTGCTGCGCAGCCAGTTGCTGCTGATAGTGTTGAATTGTTTGCTAATCAATAGTTTGTTGTTGTGGTTGTTGGTTTTGGTTATGAATGTGTTTAGGTGTGGGTGTAAATGTAGGTGTAGGTGCGGGTGTTTCAATAAGTACGAGGCCAAAACACACCAATTGTTGCCAAAATAAATTAAACATCAAACATGAACAAAGGGAAAGTCAACAACAATGTCGGCGTCGCACTTATCACCCAATTAGATATAAACAAAAACATTATAAATTTACATTTGGATAGTTGAATAATTTGATCAAATAAATTCATTAAGTTCTCACTTATTGATATATTCATCAACTTTCAAATTTAAATTAGAATGTTATTATTTAAGCATTTAAGCATGTGCATAACTGACCTAGCGTGCCCCAAGCACACGCTTACATACATACATATGTACATATATACAATCACATTCATAGACGTATGTATGTATGTAAGAACGCATGTACATTCATTCGCAACTATTCAATGAGTGTTTGCAATTAAAATTATAAATGGGAGCGCAGCACACACACACACACACACAAAATTAAAACGTAATAAAAATAAATAAATAAGAAAACAAATCATTTTTAAGAGAACACTCATAGCAGATCTTGCACAGCTTTTGTTGGCATTTGGCGCCAAAAACGATCTCTCATTAGTCGCTGGCGGGTTTCACGCTCAGCAGCACACACATGCATACGCAAGCGTACACATACATAGAGACACCGCCACCGACACACACACACATAAGCAAGCTTGTACATTTATACAGTAAACGGTGAAAACGCGCATGAGCATGAGCAAGTTCCAAATGGTTGGAGCAGCGAACATCTGCGTTGCATGTTCCAATTCTCAATGATTCCATTCACTTTTTGTCCAGTAATAATACAACCGCTACGTTTCTTATTGGCAATTAATGCGTACAAAATGTAAACAAATTGCGACTCTTTTCGTGAGGCATGGGGTGCAAAACAAGTTAATTCATACGTAATCATATAAACAACAATAAACTATAAACAATAAACAATAAATTGCATTGTTTTGTCATAGATATCAGCTGTTCACCTTTTTTCTTGCTTTCCCTTTTTACAAACAAGTCGCTCAAATGCAACTGAGAATGATTTTTGAAAAAACGGCACGTTTTTAATAAAGAGCAGGTTCATTCGGTTCATGAACCAATTTATCGGCTCTTCTTTTATTCTCTCAATGCCAGGGGTGTCTTAACTACTCATGCAAAAAACGGCAACACTGTCAAAACATACAAACACATGTACATATTTGATGTACGTATGTATGAACGCGAGAGAGACTCGGTGAGAAAATAAAATATATAATGCTCTTTACAATGTAAAGTTGTTTGTGCACAAACCAACACATATACACATATGTGTGAGTGTGTATGTACGTATGTGCGTACAGAGAACTGACAAAGCATTTCGAGTTTTGTACACATACACACAAAAGCACATATAGACATACCAGTTGTAGTTGTCTTAAAACAAGAGACACTATACAAAGAAAAGAATTCACATGGGGAGCAGCACGTATACATATTTACATATGTACATACACATACATATGTTTGTATGTACATACATTTGTATGTACATACAGCCAATTTCAGATTACGCAAGCTTCAATGTTGTGTGCATATTTCAAGTTTTCATACATACATACATGTGTTTGCACATACATAAATATATTCACATTTATAGCCACTATATATTTGTATGTATGTATGTACATATGTATGTATCAGAAACAAATACTAACAAACCGTCTTGTTTGTATCTGTTCAACATTCGAAAATCGAGGCACATGTCATTTCCAATTTTATAATGTTAAAGATACATACATATGAATATACATACACATATGTTTTATATTTGTATGCACTTAAAAACGCATGTAGTATGCAATTTCGGCTGTTCTAAATTAACAAAATGCATAAGTTAATGACGAACGAGCAACAAAATAAAATAAAATAAAAATGGCGGCCATAGATGCGCACGCAAAATAAAAATGTTTCTTGTGTCTATATGTTCGTATGTACACATGTATGTATGTACGTAGCATGTACGCATAGCGTCGTCGTATGGATGCCTGCTTTTAGTTCGTATTTAGTTTCTTCTCAAATGTATATGTATGTAGATATATGTATGTATATATATTTATATGCTCGTGATGTACATAAAGTCGAAAAACTAACCAAAACTTATGTACATATGTATGTACGTATGCTGCTCACACACATGTATGCATTGAGATTCCAACTCGGCCATTGTAAAATTTCCATACTCTCTCATGCGTCTCATTTTATATGTATACATCCATGCACACATATGTATATGCTAATGCGTATATGTTTGTGTGTGCGTCTATATGTATGTATATTAAAAGTAGTGCGTGTTTGCCAATTTAATTTGTTGTTGGCGGGAAAAAAACTTTAACTTGCGACAATAAATGATGTAGACGCAATGTGAGCAAAATAGACGATGAACGCAAGAATAGTTTGTGCAAATATATGTACATATGTACATACATACAAAAATATTCAAGACTGTAGGTTGGTGTGCTGTGCGTGTGTGTATGGGTGTATGGGTGTACGTGTGTGTGCACTTCAGCTTACCTGTATTTGATGAAAGTGTTCCATGATTTTGGCCGATTACTGTGCGAATGGTTCGTACTGAGGGGGTTGAGGGTGGCGAGGAGTTAGTTTATATATTTTGCAATAGTTTTATATATGTATGTATTTTTCTGCGTTCTTCCTCTTTTGATTTTTTGCACTGCACACAACACAAACTCAATGGCTAAAATAAGTTGAAAGCCAATTGCAACTCGCATTCGTTTATTCCATGTACATATGTACGTTATATTGATTATTATGCAGATATATAAATATATATATATATATATATATTATATATATTTATATGTATATACGTATTTATGTATGTACGACGGAGGAACTAACAGAAGCAGAGCCGTCAGACGCCACACGGTAAAATTTGAAAAAATTTTTGTTACCGATTCTTACGGCGAATCGGCGTAACAGCGAACGGAACGATAAACGTAACGTAACGCGAGTTTGGAGTTTGGTGCTTCTTGTGTTGTTATTGTTTGTTTTTAGTTAGTAAAAAATAAACAAACGACGCCACAAACGCAGCTTTATTGCAGTAAATGTGTTTTTGTTGGTATCAATGCGGAAAAGATGAGGTTCGCGCGCCGCTCGCTTGATTGAAAACACACACAGAGAGAGTACCAACAACGAATGCAAAGGCTATTGAATTGAATAGCCGTCTCTGCCTTACTGTGCTTCATAGCCCAGCCTGGCTAGCGCCAGACTTCTGTATGCGTTGAGTGCGCAAGTGTGTGCGTTTGTGTGAGTAACTCTTGTCTGTGTGTGGGAACGAGAGAGAACGAGGGAGAGAGAGAACAGGCAGCAAACCAGCAAGCAGACAGCGGCGTGCTCTGCTCTGAGTACAGTTTACTGAGCGCACACTTTCTCTCCTGGTGCCCAATGAGTGCTGAGTATGTGAATATGTATGCATGTGTGTGACAGTGTGTGTGTATACACGTGGTGGAGGGAAACAGGCCTTTTAACATTTTTGGCTTGTTACTTTTTATACTAAGGTTCATGCAAACATATGAACACTATATGTATGTATGTATGAGTCTTAAGAAAAATGTACCTACAGGCAACGTACATACATATGTACATACAAACATATTTATGTTCCTTACTTTAAAAGTACATACAAACAAACCTAAGCATATTTACATACTTAGTATATGTACATACATACATATGTATGTATATTCATCTGTACATATGGTATGTCCATGTGGACCAACTCTCCTTTACTTAATTATATTTATTATTGTTTGTTAGCTTTCCGAACTGCTGTTCGGAACTGCTGCATATAAACAGAAAACGCAATAAATCATATATTAAATAAATTCAAATAAATATTAATATATACATATGTATGTATTTACATTTATACGTACTTACATACATATGTACATATGTATACGGTTGTAAGTAATTATGTACATACATTTGTATGTACGTGCCTGTGCATACATATTTATTTATGCACGTACGTTCAAACGTACATACATGTCCATATATATGTACGCATATGTATATATGTGAGCATGTATACATCCCCAGCCCATTCCTACAATACATTCACATTTGTTTGAGTGTATGAGTTTGTTTTTCGCCTTTACACAAACACAAAAGTGCATGTATTTTATTTGATATACACACACAATGATATTCTCGCTACATACACATGTTTCATTTTGCGTTCCTCGTCTGACTGTACTTCCCAACTCTCTCATTTTAAAAAGAGAGAAACATTGTTGGAATAATGCAGCTGTGTGTGAACGTGTTAGTGAGGTCAGAAATACCCAACACACAAATTTTCTTCGATTTTATTTGATCATCACAAGGGTGTTTTTAAATAAATGTATGTACACATGAACGTACGTACATACATATGTATGTACATATCTTTTAATGTACATACATATGTATGTATTATGTAATTTGTTTTCATCGTATATATAGAGTAGAATTATAATGATATAAATTAAAATATGTATAATGTAAATATTATTTACAGAAACTTAATAAAAAAAAATATATATATATATATAAATATATATCTAATTATATTAAATATATTTGTATATGTACATAGATGAGAATTATATAAATATATAAATTCTGTACATAAGATTTGAAAAGAGTAGCTCAATTCGATAAGCGATAAGCTTGTGTGGCAGCCCTTGTTTTATTGCATATTCAAACCGACTAGGGATGGAAGCTAATTCACATGTAACATAAATTTAAAATAATGAAATAAACCATGGATTTAAGTTTATACCACATGCTGATATACTCATCTTATGTATATCGTATAACTATATAAGTACACAAATAGAAAATGTATAATATCATAGGAATAATTTGAGAAAGTAATCAAAATCGAGTGAAATGTGAGCTAGTTCAGGCAAATATTTTAATCGGAAACCGGGCAAACATTCAGCCCTGTTTCATTCCATTGTGAATTCGCATCGGTGAGAACGTATGTAATCATATGTTTATATAGTTGTTTGTGCAATTGTATGTTAATATGCATTGTCGGTATTTGATCTGACAAACTGTTTAATTGCAGAGAAGCTTACGTTCAGATATAAATACAAAGGATGGCCAACAAATCGCAGATACCGCTACCATCCGAAGATCTCGACTGGATACAGTTACGTCAGGACTTGGGACCCGTTGTTGAAGTTGAAACGACAAAGGAACGATTTGTGCGCAAAGTCAAGGAAAACCCACTGGTGCCCATTGGTATGCAATAATTACATACGCTACACTTGCCACAGAGTGTTATATAAACATTGCCAATTTCATAGGCTGCCTGGCGACCACAGCCGCTCTGACCGCTGGCCTCTACAACTTTCGCACCGGCAATCGCAAAATGTCACAGTTTATGATGCGCACTCGTATCGCCGCCCAAGGATTCACAGTCCTGGCCCTGATCGTGGGCGTTGTGATGACCTATGGCGAGAAGAAATAATTATGATATTGCCCCGCTAGTTACTTACTTTTAAAATGTACATATGTACGTATAAGTAGTATAAATTAAACGATTATACTAGAATTCACATACACGCATACATACATCTGTAGCTATAATTGATAATAAGGCATAGTAGAGTGCAGTTATGTTCGTATGTATTGGTCTGGTTCTAATTAGAATAAAATGTGCAATGTTGTCCAATTAGATGTGATTTGGTCAGATTTGGCGTTTCTATGGAATATTTTGACCGGCGTTGCGCAGCTTATATGTATAAGCTGTTTTTTTCTTTTACATACTTGTGTGACTTGTAACTATTATTAACTACAGTTGCATTTTACCATATATTTCTCTTTGCTAAAAATATTTGTATTATTTGTTTTACAGATTTACGTTTTTAGCACGCAAAATGTTATATTTTTTTGGATAGTTGAATAATTGAATACATCCAGAGCGTGTGTATTGGCTGGGTGTGGCTAAGGCGTGATGCAGGGGTTATTTGTTACCCACTTTCGATTGGGAGATGTGCGCGCGCATCGAGGCTCTCGGAACATTTGAAAATGCCAATTGTTTTCGGTAGTTAGTTCAAGGTAAGATTTCAACGGTAAAGGACGTTTATTGGATTAAGGTTGGTCAAAGTTGCAATAAATGCTGTTTTTACAAGTGAAATAGTGTTAAATGGCCAGCAGTTTATATAGAAATATATATGGCAGGTTCTTAAGAGACTATTGAATATTCAAAGATTTGTTGATAATGAAAAGTAATTTTATTATACTGGAATTTGGGTCGCAAAACAGATATATATATGTATGTAGGTATATAACAGATATAGGTATATATAGATATATATATAATATCTGTTATATATGTACATATCAATTAATATAAAATTAATTGAGATGAAATTTCTCCTCTGGGCAAGGTAAACATTTTCTTTTTGGTGGGTAAATTATTTTCTAATAAGAAATCAACCCTAACGGTTTGTTATGGCCATTTTGTATACATATGTGTGCAAGTATGTGCACGTACACATACAAACAGACATATACATAGGCATTTGCGTAAAGCTTGTCTGGCATCCCAGGCATACACATGTATGTATGTACATGAATGCGAATGTTTATTATTTACATGCATACATATGTACATATCTATATATTTTAGGCAAACATGAATATATTACTTGGCAATTGTGTGGGCAGCTGTGATCAATTGGCCGGCCCGCCGCCCGATTTCATATTATCGATGCCACCGCCGCCGTTGCCATCGTTCCTGATCTCGAAACCAAAGAGCATTGATATATTATTGCCAGCGAACGAGTCGCAGCCCTGCTTTGCGGCATTCATGTGCGGCCAGAATCAACACAATGAGAGCGGCAATGAGCTGATGGAGCTGGTGCGCAGCGATACAAAGAGTATGGAAAATGTTTGGTTTTTCGTCTCGTCCTGCATTGGCATCTTTGTGCTGGGCTGTTTCCTCGCATTGATTGTAATTCGATGCAAAGAGTGAGTTCATTTCAATTTCACTTTAAGCAGGGCTGTTGCACACGAATGAAGTCTGTCTTGTTCACCGAACTGGCAAGCTGAGGATTTATTTGCATAGCGCTTGCAGCCCTGGTTAACGTTATTATTTGTTTACATCGGGAATTTTACTAAATACTCTTGTATTTGCTTTGCATGCAGCACCTTCTTCTCGTACCACGATGCGAATATCAAGCAAACGGCCATCAATGCTTTGGGTGAAGCAACCAAATCCAACGCCTTCACATCGGGCGGCATACTCTATCCGTGTGCCACGGCCAACAGTCGAGATCTGCTCCAGAGCCAGCTGGTGAACGACAGCCGCCTGCTGTGGGCCACCCTAACACCGCATGGCACCAGGCATTTCATCATCGAGAACTCACAGGATGGCCACTACGAGTCCGTTGACTATCGCGGCAAGGCGCACAATCAGGTGTTCCGCGGCTATGCCAAGCAATCCCAATCCTTTGTCAAGGTACGTATGTCAAGCGTTTTCTGATTGGAGTCTGCATTGAATTGGTTTCACTCTGTTTGAATAGTCCTTCGATAATAATGGCTTTGTTGATTACGACTATGAGGATCCCACACCCTTGATGGACTCCTATCATGATGACATGGACTCGGGCTATCAGGAGCCGCATGAAGTAACCGGCTCGCTGCGTCGTTCCCCAATGCGTGCGCTCGCCTCGTCGCCGACCACAAACGATATCTCGAATATCGCATCGGCCAGCTATAATGCCAGCCTGGCGCCCAGCAGCCAAGCGGCGCCCAATTCGCTGTCCATCAGCCGCAAGACAACGTTGTCGCGCCGCATCAGCGATGCCTCCTCCCATAATGGGACATCCATGTAATTTCCATGGCATCGGCAATAATGTTAATCAAAACGCAATCAAGTTTTTTTGTAAATTAAGCATGGATTTATTGAGCGAGAAGCGAACGGAGAAAGCTGATTCGATGGAACGCCAGTCGTCCAATAAAACAAAACTAAACTCAAACTCAAACTCAAACTCAAACTAAACTCAAACTCAAACTCAAACTCAAACTCAAACTCAAACTCAACTACTCATACAGTATTCATATATAGAGATACAGTTATGTATGCCATTCTAGCTTAAGAACTCAACTTGTTGTATTACTGCTTATATAGTCATTATGCTAACTAATCCAAATCAAATTCCGCTGCTAAACCAAAAATAGATATATTCAGAAGAGAGGAGAAGAGAAAAGAGGAGAGAAGATGAGAAAAGCAAACGATTGTCCTATCATATTTATATATATATATACATATATATAATGAATTTAAGTATATAAATATACAATCTCTATAACTAATATATATTAAGTCCGAAGATTCTGTTATGTTTCTCGTTTCTCAATTTAATTTTATTTTACACTTTACGCTCTCAACAACGTATGTATGTTCCAATACATAGAAGGTATATATATATATATATATATATATATATAAATTTCTTTTGTGTCCCATTTTAAAAATAAATAATTATAAATATATATATATATATAATTTATAGAAAAAAAAAAAAATTAAAATAAAATAAAAAACAATTTATTGCATTTGCCTTAGCAGCTCAATATGCTCTTGATCCAATCGTGCAGATGCACCTCAATCACATTCACCTGGTTGTAGTTCTTCGAGTGGAACTGATTGAAGGCCGTCGTCAGTTGGATGACCGCCGAGACGAAGTCGCTCAGGCGCAGGGTGCCATCCTTGCGTATGTAGCGCTGAATGAGACAGTTCATGATGTCGGTGCTCAGCTGGAAGCCAATGTCGTAGAGGGCATCGCGCAGGCGTTCCGCGCGCAGAATTCCCGCTTTCTCTTTTGTGTAGATTTTGAAGACGCCCTGCCAGGACTTCAGATTGACCATGAAGGTCTTGAACTGCTGGAATGTGATGCGGCCGCTGCCCGTCTTGTCCTGCAGGGCGATCACCTTGCGGCAGATGTCGATGTTGGCGCATCCCTTGATGTAATCATTGGGCAGGCAGGCCTCCAGCAGCTCGTGGAGCTCGAAGCAGTTGATGGTCTTGTTCTCGTCCGCCAGCTGCATATAGACCGGCTCGTACTGGCAGATGCTTTTGATTTTCTGCACATTGTCGTCGGTCTTGAGCGCCGGAAACGGATCCAGCAGGATCATCGTCTGCGTCTCCAGGCACGACAGCCGAAACGACGATGTGCCCAATATGCGCACCGTGAACTGCGCCTCCTCGGCCGGCTCATAGGTGGTGGGCATCAGCACATAGTGCCCAATGTCCAGCTGCGTGTGGTAGCTGACGTGCCGTGTGTTGCCATAGTCCGAGTTGAGGAAGCTCACCTGGTTCTTGAAGAAGTCCTTCTGCAGGCACTCGTTCAGGCTGTAGTCCCGATTCCACATGTACATGGTGAAGCCAATCACTTTCGGCTCCACGGCCGTGTGCTGATTGAGCGCTATGACAATGTCCTGCTTCTCCTGTATGGAGACCAGCAGCTGTGGATTGATGTGAAAGGATTCGTGATTGCGACAGCCGCCGGCAGTCACGCCGCGCTTCCACTGTCCCTGGTACATCTTCATTTTCCAGTGGAGCGGCCGGCCCTTCAGCATCTGCTCCCCATTCGCCGTATCCGAGTCCAAGTAAACGATTTCCAGCGATGTGAACGTGTGCACGAAATCATAAAACGAGATCCAAAACTCGCCCAGCTCCAGTTGGGCCAATAGACGTCCGCGTTCCGTGGACGAGACGCGCTCCCAGGTCTTCGACGTGGGCGACCAGTCCCCAATGAAATTGGTCTTGTCGCCGAAGGGCTTTGATGAGAATGTGTCCTTGATGCGCACCAATTGCACCGAATCGCCCATGACCGTCTCCACCTTGTCCAAGCAGGAGAGTCTACAAAGAATATTTTGTACGTATAGAGAGAGAGAGAGATATGTTAAGAGTTCTATGGTCAATATCTCACCTGTAGTTGACATTCAGCAGGATGCCATTGGAGAGCCTCTCCGCCGTGTTCTTCTTTTGTACGGCGGCATTCTTCACCGCAATGCAGGTGACAATGCAAGTGGTGGCCAGGTGATCCTTCAGGGTCTGTGGCCTTATGGTATCCGCTACGATGGGCATGCACTTGACCACGCCGCCCAGCAGATCGGTCAGGCCATCGGAGCGTGTGCCGTACTTGAGCGCCTCATAGGAGCCGTGCAGTTTGGCAATGGCTTTCTCCAGCAGCGATGCCCAGAAGCAGTTCGACGATTGCGGCTGCATGAACGCAAGTCGTCCATTGATCGTGGGCAGGCGATCGTCGACGAGCACCTCCACCCACTCGCCGCACCACCACAGGCGAAAGCGATAGATGCCCATCGCTTTGTCCAGACTCTGGTCGGCGGGCACAACGCGATAAAACAGATTCCTCAGCGAATAGAGCACGCCCAGGCAGGAGACGAGCCAGCGATCACCCATCTTGCCAGGCACCACATCGAACTCCGCATTCTCATTGAGAAACGAGGCCTGGGCATTGTTCAGCTCGGAGATGCGCTTCCACTGGAATGTGAATGGGGGCGTTTGATAGTAGAATACCGATGATTGTATTGCTGGGAAATCAGCGTCTTCCCACAATATATTCCTCGCTCTGCAGTCGCTGATAATGCGCTCATATTTGGATGCCATATTACATATAGATACAGTATTCCATAGGCTATTAT